AAGCGTTGAAAATTTGGATTTCAAAGTAAATGGTTCTTTTGATCTCACAAATAAAGTTTTCGTTACCAGTGTTTTTATATTGTAATTTGATGATTTCTTCATAATTGATGTTTATAAAAATTGTTGCAATGAGGTGTAAAAATGTCTTATCCTAGGCGTAAAAAGCGTGATTGTACTCCACTGGAATCTGCAGCATGTGGTAGTATATCAGGCAGTATAGCAGCAGCAATAACAACACCATTAGATGTGGCAAAAACAAGGATAATGCTGCATGAAGGGTGTAAACGAATTGGTATATTACCAACACTGCGAACGATTGCAACTGAAGGTGGCATTGAAAAGTTATATTCTGGTATTTTACCACGTACTATATGGATGGGTCTTGGTGGGTTCATTTTCTTTGGTGCCTATGAAGTCACACTCCAATTCACTTATTGGATTTGTCCACAGCACGAAAAGTTAGCTACTGGAGTGATTAAGTGAAATAATTCGTTTAATTTCCAACACTGGAATCAATGCGTTGATGTGATTCACATGTCCATCGTACATAGTGTTATATTTTTTTAATTACGGTTCATTGTAGGAATCAGTTTTATACGTTACAAATTGTAAGATATCGTTGTTTCATATTTATTGTACATCTTTTTGTTCAGTCACCATGTTCATTCATTAAAATCACTGCCACTTTATTGGAGGTGTTGTTCTCAGATATCGTATATTTGATAAATAATGATGTCATGTTTTATACACAATATAACGGTGATTCATGTATAGTTGAAAATATTCGTAGGGAACTTTATATGGAACACAAAATGTTAGGAATTGTTACAGAGGGGATGTGGTTTATATGCCATCCAAAGGTATTTCACATATTCAGATCAATAACCGCACGACAAAAGTCATCTTCATCAACGAAATCAGCCACAATAATATTTACGTTGGAACGATAACGGTAACCGTTCTGAAACTATTATTTTTATCATAATTTCGTTCATTTTACTGTTTTCATTGTCAGCAGATTCATTATTAGTTGTAATCATTGGATTTGTTCTCATTTTTTGCCTCTGTTCGGAGAATTCAACAAAAGGTGAATGTGAATACAGCACCCACCTCTCTAAGCCATTCAACTAAAGTACGTGTTGCACGTCTCGCATATCGATTTTCGAATGTACCCGTTGGTTGTCTGATTACCGAGTTAACCGTCAGTGTCACAATTGCTTGACATGCCTGCAAATACACTATGAGTTTTATTCAAAACCACATAAATATAAACATACCTGAAAGCCATCATCAAGATTCCGAGTGGAGATGATATTAGCAACATCGTTAACCATAGCCCTTGGTTCTTCAGTGCGAGGCCATGGATTTTTGATGAACTGACGTGACCATACATAATTTGGCAGTTTAATGACATCAGAATGATTTGCATGACCGTTAATACTGTCGGATGATGGCGATGGAAGTGTAGGCTGATAGAAAATAATCACCTGGAATATTAGCATGAAGTTTATTTGCTGGTAATCATCGAGAACATACGATGGACTGTAGCAAATGAATATTTCTAACTCAACTGCGAACAGCTATAAGCTAGTAGCTTTTTGCGAAGGTCTCATGCCCGCAAAAATGTGAAGTGAGTAAGAGCATTCGGCGTAAAAATGAACACGATACAACTGTGGAATAATTCGCAAACANTCAAAATGAACCTGCCCAGAAGTGGACCATATCTTATTGAGTGAGAGAGAAGCGGCCAGCTGATGCGTTGATGGTTGCTCGATAAGTTTATCATCGAAAATCGTTGAAATCATACTCAATAATTTTTCGTGTTGTATTTCTTTGAAATCATAAAAATGATTCAAATCAATCAAGATCACTTCTTTTGAATGTGATGTAGCGAAGTTGTTAACGTCTTTGAATAAATCTGTAAATTTTCTTCTCAATAATTTTCATATTCAGTTCACTTTTAGAAAATAACCACAAGGAATTGGCCGCCTGTTATATTCTTCAGCAAAAACACTGTTGCTTCTCATCAGCATAGGTTTTGCATTATTTCTGAGTGATTTTTGCGTTTGTATCAAAACTGATCGCTATCTTCTCATTGCTCATAGCAATGATCTTGTCGTCTAAACCTGCACATAACTCAAAAATACAATGAAGTATGCTAGATGCACCTCTAACTTCCATGCACTTCAAGCCATGAATCACGTAAAATTCATCGTTCATGAATGCTACCGTAACGTCCAAGTAACGTATTCCAGCTTCCAGCTACAAGTGGTATATGAAATTGCCTGTATGTAAAAAATATACTCAGTGATTTTGTCAAAACAGTTATTCGTTGATGATCTCAATAAGATTTCTACAATTACAAAAAAGTAACTCAATAATCCAAATTTATTCTTAAAGACTCAGATAATTATTGTGTAAATCACGTGCAACTGTTCAACTTCAGTCACGTGCAATGTGCTATGAGTAATAAATACATTGTAGATCGGTGATCAGCTGATAATCTGAATAAACCAAACCTGATCTTTAATTGAGAGGGACTGATCTTTTGACCAGTTGTAGACGGCTTTACGAATCATCTCATTCGGGGTCAGTACTCGAACACACCACGGTTGATCAATGGTTATCTCACTATCTTCTTTCAAATTAAACGATGCACTGTGATGAGATCCTTGAAAGGTTTGGTTGTGACTGTACTGCATGAACACCACAAACAATCTTGAAGTGTACACTTTCAAAAACCAAATTTAAAGCGGTTCACGCATATGACTGAAGATTAAAGTTTATCATTTGAAAAATCGGTTAGGTAAAATTACAAACCATTTACCTGGAATGGCCAACTTCATCAGCGGTTTATCCTTAACCGCAGTTAGTGACTCTGACATCCAATCTGCCATTCCTGAACGTTTCGATCGTTATTATCAATTGTTTTCAACTTTTAGCATATTGATTGGAACCGATATTGATTAGAATAGTGCAATAGCGATCAGTGAAAATTGCACATTCAATAATAAGATGGAAATCAATAACGGAAATGTTTTCTTTCGAGTGCATTCAATGAAAGCAAGACAACAGAGTAACCAGAATTCGCATGAGGGATATTCTCTTTTCAGCTTGATGGTTTATATTCAGAAACACTCAATTATGAACAGATGTACTGCGGTGTTACCACAATTACTGTAATTCCTTAGATGTTCTTGTTAATGGTAGTGAGGATATGAAAAGTGCGAAGAAGAATCCACCGAATGAACAGAAAAATCAATAAAAACTGAAATTAACATTGCAAAGAAGCAAATAATTGAATGGGAATTTTTTCATAAGGAAACGATTCGAGCACGTTCATTCGTCATCATACATATATATNTTGTTGTGTTGATGATGAATCAATGTAGAGAGCAGCGAGCAGGCTTTTCGAATACAATAAATACACAACAACCAGCTGAGGTGACTATGTGTGTCGTCTCGCTCTGTGCGTGCGTTTGAGCATTTTCCGTTTTATATTCAATTTCTAATTTCGATGGATGCAGGCAGTTTTATTCGTGCTGCTGCTGCTGTTGCTAAGGCTTCGAAACAACCAGCAATGTGTATTGATCTGTTTCGTGTATGCACTCTACTCTCCTAATTCTGCGATGTTTTATAGTGATTTTCTGCTTGACGGCAACTAGTAAGTACGTCAACAAGCAGATAGATATATTTCTGCAAAAAGCAACAATATTCATCTGCAGAGCTTTGCAAGCAGTTTGCATCAAGGATATTGTGCATGCTCTACAATCATTTCTTGTGACACTTCAATTTATTTCATTGTGATTTTGTGATTGACACTGACCAACAACACACCTCAATGAAGCATTTTACATGCGAGCATCAACTTTCCTCAAGATAACGCAAAGTCAGTGCAAAAAAGTACTTCATCGTTTGTTCGAAAAAAATTTTGTATTCAAGCAAAAACAACCTTAAAAATTTGTTTAGATGGCCCTTGGCAATTTTACGTAAACGAATAACAAAGGAAGATGGAAACAAGAATTTATTTATGTGTCAGTAATGAATGTCTATATTCAACCATTTAACGTTCCGTCGAAAACTCTATGATTCGTTCTGCAGCGGGCATCTTATTGAATTTCTTGAATGACCATTCAGTATAGTTCAAAAAAATCATGGAATGTCACAGCACAAGTGGTCACTTTTTTGGTGTTCAAGTGAATGATAAGTCATAGTAGAAGTAAAGTGTGAATACTACAAGATTTGATGTACATTGACCTCAAAACATCGTATCATTCAGAAATGATCAGGCGTCACGAATTTGGATGCATGGAAATTTTATTGTTATCTAAAATGTAATGCTATTGCAATGATACTAACTGATATGAACATGAAATTTTCACTGAAAATCAATTAAATTCAAAGAAATCTTTTCAGATATTCCAAATTTGGTTTTATATTCATCGGACAGATTCGTCAGCTCAGTGCAATATTTGTGATGCAGTTTATCGAGCATTTCTTCGGTTAAATTCAGCGTCTTCTTAACGGGAATAGCCCATCCCAGTGCAATCGTCTCACCGCGAACGCTACCAAAATCTCCACTGCAAACCATACGAACGTTTAAAACCCGCTCCAAACTCACTGTAAACGCTTCCAATCTCAACTGCGAAATTGCGCGATTGCACTGGTATTGATCGTGGATTATAATTATGAATAATCCGCCAAGAATGAAGTGGATATAAGCACGGTAGCGCTCGTGTGCACACATTTTGAAAAGTGTGGCGCATAAAAAGGTTTTGTTTGCACTTTCGTCAAGTGATTTGTTCGTTTGAACGTATTAAAGCATTAATGAAATAAAAACAAAAGAATGCTGACTCGATGCTGGCTGGCAATTCATTGTTTTGTCATAAAAACACGATTTCTCTTCTCACACTTGCAATCGTCACTTCGAAAAATGTCTATTCCCAACAGCGCTTTATCGATTATGAAGTATCACAACAAACAAATACTTTCAACATTTCAAGTTTCGAGGCTCTTCATTGATTCCGAAACAATAAAATGTTTGCATTAGATAAGAACTATCGAATGATAACAATGACTACCCTCCAAACTGGTAACATCGATTCCGTTGATGGTTGTTTTTGATTTGTGGACAGAGGAAAATTCCACCGAAATTGACAATACACTGGATAAAACTTTTTATTGTTGGAATCATTGAACGATTTTCACTCAAAAAACATAAAATGATATGAAATACCAAATCAATTTCATCACGCCGAGTATGTAATATTCATATTATTGAAGTTTATGTAAAACACACTTTAAGTGGATTTGAAACGTAGAACAGTGCGAGTACAACAAAATCCCTTCAACGCAATTCTGAAAAATACAATAACATTCCAAGCAGATCATTGATAAAAATTTCTTACAACGCTGACTGCACAATCGTTCACGTCAATGAGAATATGACCCGAGACGAGGTAAGGTGCCGAGTGTAACTGAATGATTTAGTTATCCATTGAACTTTAACGATCCCTTCAATGAAGCTTAAACATGAAGATCGTCATCTACATTGTCAATTCACAAGATCTCA